ATAAATGAGCTATTACAGAACATTTCAGTACATATTTAGCTGCAGTAGTGTTTTCTCACCAATACAGGCAGGAAGGCTGGTCCAGTCTTGAAGCCTTTGGTGGACAGGATCCTCTGCTGGTTAAGCTGGGTGAAGTATGGCTTCTTGGTCTTTCCTGGACTGCACAATTTGTTGGCAGTTCTGGCTTGCTTTTTATACTGTTTAATTGTATAGCTTCAAAGCATTTTTCCTTGATGGTTGGTCGATTTAAAGTCTGAACAAAACAGGGAGGCAAAGGGTAACCATTAAGGCTGTGCAAAACGGCACCGTTCCATTTCGCCTTGTGTTTCAACAGTTTGAAGGAATGGTGTTTAGTCTCAAATTTCATTTTGAGTTGAAACAGCTGTTCTGTTCCATTCCATTGAAACAGAAAGGTGTTTTGACATGGTTTCAAGTTTTGCTGGGGATAGGGAGGCAGCCCAGCTGGGCTGCTTCCCAGTGCCCTGAGCTAGATCGTGCCGGAGGCGGAAGAAAGCCCAGTTGGGCTGACTTTCCATCCCCAGCCTATGGTTGAAATGTTTCAACCAGCCTTGTTTTGTTTCAAGGCTATTTCAACGGCCTTTGTTGCATTCCAATTTTGCTATTTTGACCTCAAAATTGGTTGAAACAGTGTTAGAATGAAACGGATGATGAAATTTTGTGCAGTCCTAGTGACCATCATATTACAATTGTTAAATTGCCTGGCTCCTGTTTTTGGATTTGTCTAGATGTGAAGACTTGTGTTTCTTGCAGCTATTCACTAGCATGGCAATTAAATGTGAAGGACCTTAAGTGGTCAAATGGGATACCAAGAGGCATTGGCTACCAGACCTTGTCTCTGAATATTTGTTTATCAAACTTGCAATAGCTTGTACTGGTCATGATCTGTTTACAAAACCCTGGACATGCATTGAATGATTGAGACATTAGTAATACCTTAGACATTGGATGCCTGTCTTGAGAAATGTGAGGATGTCACATACACGACATCTTTCCTGTATGCAATGCACTTTTTACAGGTTTTGCTTGAAATGCATATTTAGTCTTTTGTCTTTAGTTGCTAGTTCATTTGAAATCTATATGTAGTTTCCTTGCCTCCTTTAGTTACACTGGCTCAGCTTATCCTGCTGGCTTTCTTAGCTTTGAAATACACATCTGATGAGTGTGTCACGTCTCTGCCAACAATTTTAACCATCACTTTTATTATTTTATGGCATGGGTCAGATATTGGGTACCATGAGCTCCTATCTCTTGAACCTAATGGGTTGCAAGCCATTAGCAGAGTTTGACATTCTTTGTGGGAAGCTTGAGTTGTTACCACAAGCCAGTCTCACCCCAGCCACTGTCTTGCATTTTTGTGCAAGAGATGCTTTTCCAAGCTTTCATAGCCAGCAATCCAGCCTTTGCTAAATCCAGAAGTCAGTAGTAATTGTAGTTACTTTAAACAAATGTTCTAAAATACTATAGCAATACTATAACATTCTAAAATACTATACATTACATAGCAGTTACAATACTTATGCATGTCTATATCCACACAGTAATTACTATTGCAAGCATTTAATCAGAATACTTCCAACTGGGCTGGGGAGTGAGATTCTAGCTGTCATGTTGGCTGGCTCCAGCAAATCAGCTCACAATAACATAGAATCTATCTTTCCTGCCTCTCGTATTCCTTCCACCCAGATTTCTTGCATCATATTCTTCTAAGTTTAGATGCAACCAGAAAATCTACACATGCTTATCTTGCCATTCTCACAGAACACTGAAACTTCCCTTCCCATCCTTGCTGAGATTTGCTCTGGATCTCCTAGGGATAATGTCCCATAGGTCAGTCTGGTACCATTACACCCATTTTTCCTCTTCAGTTAGCATATCCGTAGCCCTTCACACTCCTTTCTAACAACAGTAGCCTTTCCTCACTGCCATGTGATTGCCTGTCTGACCTTTTGCCTTTTTCTTTTCAAATCCAGGATTCCTGGAACTTGTATATTTGTACCCAGGGGCACATCCAGGGGTGGTGCAGTTCTGCAGCTGCACCCCTCTTTTCTTTTTGGTCCATCCCAAACATTAAAACCAACTGCCTGGCAGTAGTAGCAACACTTCTATTCAGGCACCAGGGAGGGAGGGAGTCAATCAATTTCATGGCTCATTAGAATCTACCTGATTCCTTCTAAACTCTTCATTCTACAGGGGTTAAAGCCCCCCTCTCCTTTTAAATGGTCTTGGCATTCCCCTAACCAAGCTATCCTTTCTTCTGCAATACTGCTGTTCTTGGTAATGTAGCTCCTATTTCCCAGACCTACAGGCAGTTTTTAACTCTAGCTTAAGCCGGCAACTAAGGTATGGAAATAACTTTCAGAGACGCACTGGAGGCACAGTCAAGATGCTCAAGGTGGTTAGACTTTGTTTTAGGAATCTGAGAGAGATCATTTAATTCTAATGACTGCTGAGCTAATGAAGCAACTGATTCTTTTTCACCTAGCTTGGGTTTTTTATATACATAAGATTAGGTTTTATTATTGTATGTATATGTTCATAATTAATGCACATTGCAATAAAGTTGCACTCAGCACTCTTTCCTGCCTAGGCAGGGGTTCAGACTCTGTGATCTGTTGAGGTCCCTTCCAACCCTAGCATCTATGAAGTTATATTTCTTCTTTGCTTCAGTCTTAAACTGAATAGCATAGCCTTGGGCCCTGCACTATTAGTAATGTTTCTTTAACTGGAGGAAAATCCTGTGGTGTGTTAGGTCTCATGGTGTACCACACTGTCTGCACCCCCTTTTCTCAAAGTCCTAGATCTGTCCATGGGTGTAGCCATGAAAGGAAAGCATGGGGGAAAGGGGGGGACTTTAATCCCCCCTCACCACAAAGGGGGCTGGGGGGCAAAGGGGGGAAGGTTACAGAACTAAGCCGGGCCATGAAATATCCCCATGGCATCTGTCATCCCAGAGAAGGGGTCTGGAAGGGACCCTCTTTTTGTTCTATATTGTTCAGTATCGAACTCTTTGTGTAAAAAAGAGGGAATTGGACACTTCAAGGGCCTCTCAAAAAGTGATTTCATAAAGACAACTTCTTGGTGCGAGACTATGCGACTGCAGAGCCTCAGTGAGGTGTTCCACAACTTTTGGCCACCAGGCTGAAGTTGGTTCCTTACTCCCAGTTCCTGGTTCCTGGTTCCTCTTTCCAAGCCAATCTTTACACTGTCTCAGTTGTTAGTACCGAAGCAGACGTGCCAAAGAGAGCATTTCATTCAGCAATATCTCTTTACTAACCAAAATGGAAAACGATATTGTGCGAGGAACTGGGACGAAGGAACCAAGGGCAGCCTCCTCTGCCCGCCTGAGGCAGCCCAGGCCCCCGTACCTCTCCCTTCAGCAACCCCCGTCGGCTCCGCCAGGCTCCAGCCCGGCCGGGCAGGGCAGAGCCTGGGGTCGGGGGAGACCCTGGGAGCTGCCCTCGGCCCAGAACCGCCCCGGCCGGGCGGCGCGGGGGGGAGGAGGAGCCGCCCGCAGGGAGGAGCCGCCTGGCGCCCGGCCCGACCCAGGTGCGAGGCAGGAGCAGGAAGCAGGAAGAGCACCCCCTCGGGCTGGGGCCGGGGCGATGGCTGCAGCCGCCCGCCTGGCCGCGCTCCTGTTGGCCGCCGCGCAGCTGCTTCGGACCGCAGGTAAGGGCGGGCGTGGTAGGGGGCACCGCCTGCGGCTTTTCTCGCCTGTGCCGGGGGCGGCTCCGGGAGCCCCGGGGCAGGGAAGCCGGTGAGATGCGGGGGGAGCCGAGAGCCGAGCCCCATCCCTGGCCCGGCTCTTGCCCGGCGTCGCCTTCCCCTGCGGCGCCCTTTGCCAGCCCGCGCGCCCGCCG